CATATACATATACACATACATATATATATATATATATAAGTACAAGTACAAATACAAGTACAAGTATATGTATACACACACACACATATATATATATATATATATATGTATATATATTTGAATACAAACAGTTGTAGACACCGAGATTTCTTGAAAAAATGCATGTGTGATGTCGAAATACGTCTACGCGCTTGGAGATGTGCAAAGGCAACTGATAATAATATCGACAACGTACACAGCAGACTACCAGACAACCTACACGCTATAGCACAGCTCAATAATAGAAGAAGCACTATTAAGAACAACTATTCCGTAAATGTGCCCGGGCAAGCATAGGTGAGAAACCTTGCTGTACGATATAGTAGGATACTCCATACTTGCCATATCACAGATGTACGACAAAGCATGCCATCACACAAGGTTACTTACTACGCGCGCCCTACCATGTGAAACCACGCTTGAGTTCACTAGTCTATGACTCACTTCTATTCTAAAATATTGCTATCGCATCCGCTCACAGTAGGAGTTGTCATCTTGTGCAAACCCATAGCATGCTTGCTACAATACACGCAAACGATATAACTGTTATCCTCCAATCACTCACTACTCACGTGTTGTATCACCACGATCTAGATGGGATTGACATAGTCCATTCGATAATAGTTCTCACGTACCTGCTATGTTATGGGCCCATGCGTCGGCATGATTGCCATATGCAGGTGCAGGATCAGTGGCCGCGCCCGCTAGGTAGTCCACTTTGCCCACGTCATTATCGAACTGGCCGTCGCCTGCAAACGATGCACCAAAATATTTTAACCCATAATGAATCAAACACACACACACAAACACGCACACACACAAACACACATATATATATATATAAATAATAAAATATACAATAAATATAATATAATATATATATATATATATATATATATATGTGTGTGTGTGTGTGTGTATATACTCATATACTCTCGTATTGATAGTCTCCATATTAATATATCTAAGGTCAAAATAAGCCCATGAATATCTTGGCAGTCATATATTGATCATGCTCACCGCTATCAGTACGAAATTTCCTCGTACTTTCGCCAGATGTTTTGAGCTGTATGTGGTACCTTTGGGGATGTTCATACTGGGTATATAGCAGCGCACACACACAACCACGCTTGAAAATAATAAATCGGAAGTACCACAGTACAACGTTCCCCCCAATTCCAGCCCAGGACATTTGAGCACAATCCTCAGCTCCATATATAAAAGAAGGTCAATCCGTTAAAATTGAAAACTCCAGTGCAAAAAAAAAGGGCCAGAGTGTTCCGTGAAACAAACTTTGGCCGTAAACCAGAATGAAATGGCACAGCCAGACGCTCATACATATCTATATGTGCCTTACCCATGAAACGGGTACGATTTCTTTGCTCTCGGAAGTTGCCTCCAGTGAACAGACCCACTAATTCGGTGTACGTTTTGGTGCGGACCACTCAGAAACTCACCATACGATTTATATGCACACACCCATAGAACTCAATGAACACACTACAACAGATTGGAAGGCAGTTGCTATACAAACATACCCAACACCCAGGGCAACAGTATGATCTGCTCGAAAGTCCATCCGCTCACATCGTCGCCATCTACGGCTACATTGGTCAGCATGCCTGTCATCGATATGCATAGTCTAGTTGTTAATTCTTTGATCCCATAATACATTCGTACTTTGCACTACGCTATTCTCGTAAAGTATAGAATAAAACGATCAAAACAACGTAGATACATTGGGTTGTGTCGCAGAGCAGGCCCAGATACACCATGAGAAAGTGCCGCACAGGTACAGGCGACTCACTCGCGGAGGCGCAAAGTGTGGCACAATGCACCCAAATGAGGAGTTGCCTAGCGCCAAAATGAGCATTAAGTGTCGAAGTATGGATTGACACCTGCACCTATGTTCAAAGTTTGCTATGCATGATGCCAGAGAATCGGATGGTACTGAGACGGTGCAATCTTCGATGAGCTCTAGAACAGAACAAACCAAACCGCAGTTTACACGGGAAAGGGGGAGAGGTGAAGGGGGGGGGGTGGTATTTGGCGCAATGAAGAAGAATAAGTACCAAACACCGACGGGTGACTTAGGGATGTGACCCTGAAGGGAATATAATAATGTTACCAAATGAAGGTCGGTGATACTTTGAGGGATGAATCCGCTGTCCATCCCCGTTCAAAGAATCAGGAACAAAAGATAATGCGTACTTCCACACAGATATCTACGTTGACGATAACGAATGGGTCGTTGCCAATCCACATTTAAATGATCAGAAACAAATGGTGATATGTACTTCCACACAGATATCTACGATAACGATAAAGAATGGGTCTTTGCCAAAACACATTCAAAGAATCAGGAATAAAGAATGATGTGTACTTCCACACAGATATCTACGTTAACGATAAGGAATGGGTCGTTGCCAATCCACATTCAAATAATCAGAAACAAATGGTGATATGTACTTCCACACAGATAACCACAAGAACCAGATAGGGTTCAGGGTTCTGCGCGTATCGGGAAGTATGGAACGCTACCTGTTTGTGACGGGAGGAAAGTCAAATTGGTGTCGTAGGTAGAGGCGAATTCCACGACCAAAAGCTGCCTGTCGAATGGGAACTTGCGGAAGTCCATGGTCGAGTAAAAGGTCCCGTGGATGATTTGAAACCACGTCACACTGTCGTTGCGCACAATGATGCTGAAGCGTTCGGCTGCTCCTTCGGGGACTGCAGTGTGTGCAAGTAGTAGGTAAGTTGTATGTTCAGTCGGGGATTGATAGATGTCTGAGTGTTCGTTGAAGGTGGCCGTGCATATTTGAACTTTGGCTATAATAGGAAGTAGGTAGGTATTTCCCTCCTGGGGGCACGTTGTTTGCTAGATCATCATATAGCTGTAGTGCTTGTCAAGCCGTCCGTTTCGGTTCTCGAATTACGACACTCACGTAACCCTAAAACCCTAAAACTAGAATCGAAGTATCCACCGCACTTCTGCTGAAACTACCCGGGGCTCTCATTGTATTCTCACCCATGTTACCATAGTCACTTGATATATCTTCTGACCAATGAAGTGTATATCCATCGGTGAGGCTAACAATACAGGAACACCTGTAAATAGGCCTTTTAATGGGTCTACTCCAGATTATGGTTACAGTTGAGTGCAAAAGCTACAGCCGGTCTCTACCTGTACTTGACTGTAAAGTGCAGCGTTGCTCTACCCCACAGACAGCTTAGCACGAAGTTGCACTAGGCAAGGCTGAATTGTGTGTTGGAATCAACGATTGTTTGGAATTTGGTTTGTGCACCTTTATCATTCACATCCTTTTGTAGGTTTAGAGTACATATTAGCATCAGCATAGCACCCCGAACATGCGCTGTGCCAAGTCGCATCGATACTAAAACCCCCCCAAAAAATGCGGTTTACTCACCCCACCCATAGAAAACCAGAGCACATTCCAACAGATAGACTCGGTCGCGTACAGCCAAAATTTCGGACCGGAATCTCAATACTGTCGAGTTCGATACTGTAGAGGCAGCACAACGACTATCCCCACACAAGGAATGTACTCGGAACTCGGAAGCCAGATATAGCTACAATGGACTCTACCGCGCACAAAAGCAACATTTCACTAAACGTATCGTGGTATATGGACAGCACAGCCACGCATAGACGTAGTGTCTCCTCCTGTACAATCACAGACACGCAGTATAACGACACCAGATAGGCCGATGAGACTGAACCAGAATACGTAGCCGTACGGTGGATAGGCCAACATACGATACAATGAACTCAGAACAACAGTACCTACATATAGCACACGGCCCAAAAGTTCGGTACACCCCAGGAGGGTAAGTCGGTACACGGCAACCGGATGAGCTCACAACACATGAGTTGGCCTCGGTGGCATAGCTGCTACACGCGCACCACATACTACCGGGATAGATATTAAGGTACCTACCTACACCAACAGAACCCTCCAATATAGGCAGCACACTAAGTTGCCCAACATACAGCCATAGACGTTCGTTATATCCAACACACACTAAGTTAACGAACATATAAAACCCTAAACCCCTAAACATACAGTCATAGACGTTCGTTATATCCAACACATACTTAAGTTAAAAAACATACAGTCATAGACGTTCGTTATATCTAACACACACTTAAGTTAACAAACATACAGCCATAGACGTTCGCTATATCCAACACAAACCTAAGTTAACAAACATACAGTCATAGACGTTCGTTATATCCAACACACACAAGTTAAAAACATACAGTCATAGACGTTCGTTATATCCACACCCGGCAGCCAGATGGAGTCACAGCATTGATTAAAGCCTGGGTGACACAGATTGTGGCACTCTTCCCCAGGTCGCTCGAGTGTGGCCGCCTCCACTTGTGCAAGAGCACGATCATCGTACCACGTGAAGGAGACGTAAAAGCTGTGCTCATGTCGATAGCTGCAAAGGGATCATGAGATCTGAGAATTAGGATTCTATGGATATGGTATCTATAAACTCGTTAGGTAGGCGAGAATACTCAGTGATGTATAACGAGGGCGGGAAGAAAAGGTGACAAAAGATGATATATCAAAACTAATTTATGTTTTGAAAATATTGTATATAGATCTTTGAAAGAAAATGCAAATTGAACATACACGAATATGTCTATACATACATACATACATACATACATATATATATATATACATATATATATATATATAAATATATATGTTTGTGTGTGTGTGTGTGTGAGTGAGTGTACATAAATATATACATAAATAAATAGATACATAGATACATATATACACACACACATATATATATATATACATATACATATATACATACAGACCACAAACACAGACACTGACAGACACAGACACAGACACACATATAT